GCAAGGAGCGCGAGGCCTCCTTGCAGAAGAGGACCATGTTGTTTCTCCGAGGCTTGGCTCCAGCATATGAGCAGAGGACGGCGTTGTTACTAACTCAGACTAAGATCCCACCACTGGAGGAGGCAATCTCAGCCATGATACAAGAGGAGAGCCGCATCAGACTACAGGCTGGGACAGGTGGACTTACAGGGGAGAAGTCTGTACTGGTGGTATCCAACCCGGATTATACTGGATTCAGAGGGGAGACTAGGAAGTGCTTCAACTGCGGAGAAGTAGGACATCTGAGACAGATGTGCCCTAAGCCACCCAGAGAGAGAGACTGGGGTGGACGCGGTCAGGCTGGAGGCCGTGGTCGTGACCGTGGAGGCAGGCGAGGTGGAAGAGGAGGCCACTGAGCAAACTTGACAGTGACAGAAAGAGAAGAAGCTGAGATGATCTTCACTGCCGAGGATCGTGCACCCTTGACAGCACTGAGGAGGAAGCAGAGCGCAGTAGGTGATGTGTCTGAGGGGGCATCTACTACTTTCTCTGGAGGGGACTATGCTAATTACGCCCTTCGCGCACATCCAAACGAGGGAAGACCTACCGCCTGGATAATGGATTCTGGAGCATCCAGACATGTGACAGGCAATGCCAGTGAGTTCTTATCTTACACTCATTTAGCAGAAGCAGAAAGCATCCAGATCGCTGATGGTACAGCGCAGGATGTGGTTGGTAAGGGCACTGTTAGTTGTACAGGTTCTATAATTTTATCTAATGTTCTGCATGCTCCTTCATTCCCTGTTAGCCTGTTATCCATTAGTGCCATTATCCTTCAACTAAATTGTATTGTTTATTTTGACATTCCCAAGGTGATCTTCCAGGAAAAGGGGACAGGGCGAAGACTTGGGACTGGGACATGGCGTAGTGGGCTATGGTACTTGGACCGCGAAGGGATGGACTCAGCGCTGACATCTGTGGTGGAGAGGACGGGAACAGGAGGAGCTAAAGTGTGTGCAGAAGATGAGTTGATGCTTTATCATCAACGGATGGGACATCCGTCATTTGGCATTTTGGGTAGAATGTATCCAACCCTGTTTGGAAAAATAGATAAACAGAAGCTACATTGTGATGCTTGTGAGTTTGGAAAACTAACTAGAAGCTCTTACGTTAGTTCAGGTAATAAGAGTTCTTGTAAGTTTGAAGTAATACACTCTGATGTATGGGGACCCTGCCTAGTAAATTCTATAAATGGATGCAAGTTTTTTGTTACATTTATTGATTGCTTCTCTAGGGTCACTTGGGTGTATCTTATGAAAAACAAAAGTGATGTAGTTGGCTGTTTTAAAGATTTTCATAAGCACATCCAGACTCAGTATGGTGCAGCAGTAAAGGTGTTGAGGTCGGATAATGGGACAGAGTATACCAACAGAACACTTGGGGAGTATCTGTCAGCTCAGGGGATTCTACACCAGACTACATGCCCATACACCCCAGCTCAGAATGGGGTAGCAGAGAGGAAGAACAGACATCTCCTAGAAGTCGCTAGGAGTATGATGATGGCGATGAATGTCCCAAAGGTGGTATGGGGACAAGCAGTCTTGACTGCTGCTTACTTAATCAACCGGATGCCTTCGAGTGTGTTAGAGTGGAAGTCTCCTTGTGAGATACTGAAAGGAGATAACGAAGGGGCCCTACCATTGAAGGTATTTGGCTGTGTGTGCTTTGTGAAGGACAACAGACCATCGGTTGGGAAGCTAGACCCTAGGGCTGTGAAATGTATATTCGTGGGATACAATGGCACCCAGAAAGGGTATGTCTGCTGGAGCCCGGTGGAAAAAAGACTGTTTGTCAGCATGGATGTGCGGTTTCGGGAGCTCGAGCCGTACTACACAGTAGGGGTTACTTCACCTTTTGGTGACTTGCCCGATACTGGAGGTATGAGGCAAGAGGGGGAGAATGGTGAGAGCTCAAGGGGGTCAATCCCAATCTCGATCCCGTACTCAGTAGAGAAGGAGGATGAAGACGAAGGGGAGGAGGAGGAGACAAGGGGTGTTAGGCCTACAGCTCTAGGGGAGTTGCTTACATATAGTAGGAGGGGGAAGGAGCTAGAGGTGCCTATAGTAACTGTGTCAGTGCCTAGTTCCTCATCCAGCTCTGCTCCAACTCCTGAGACACCTACACCACCCTCCACTCTAGTAATATCATTCTATCCTAACCCTCCCTACTCTAATGTCAGAAAGGAGGATACTGCCAGTAATGCGGGAAATCCTAAGAGATATGGTTGGGATCTAGCTCATTCTGTTTCCTATTCTCACATATTACCTTCATATGGAGGCATTTATTGCATCATTAGATTGCTGTTATTATACCTAACAGCTGCAGGATGCTAAGAAGGACCCAAAGTGGAAGGCTGCTATGCATGAGCGGGGTGGGTGGCTCTGAGAAGACCACACGTGGGAGTTAGCGACACTGCCAGCAGGAAAAAAGGCAGTGGGATGCAAGGGTGTTTTACCGTGAAGCAGAACCCGGAAGGGAAGGTTTGAACGATACAAGGCATGACTGTGGCAAAGGGTACAGCCAGACATACGCATTGACTACGATGAGACTTTTGGCACCAGTGGCCGAAGATGAGTACTGTTCGAACGCTGATTTCTCTAGCAACAAATGGTGGATGAGAACTACACCAACTGGATGTGAAGAATGCGTTTCTTCGTGGAGATCTAGTGGAAGAGGGGTATATGGAGATACCACCTGGATGTGGCACAGGACAGACAGTGGGTAAGATCTGCAGGCTGAAAAAGTCTCTGTATGGACTAAAATAGTCCCCTCGAGCATGGTTTGACAGGTTCAGGAGAGTCATGGTTGGTATGGGATACAGACAGATCAATGCCGATCATACTGTATTCTTCAGAAGAAGTGGAGGTCACATCACAATGTTGGCAGTATATGTGGATGATATGATCATCACAGGGGATGATGAGAAGGAGATTGCTCAGCTCAAGGTAAGATTGAGCAAAGAATTCGAAGTGAAGGATCTGGGTCAGCTGCGATACTTCCTTGGGATAGAGATAGCTCATGGACCTAAGGGGATTGTTCTCTCCCAGAGGAAGTATGCACTGGATCTTCTTGCAGAGACGGGGATGTTGGGATGCAAGACTGCTGCTACACCGATTGATCAGAGTCTCAGGCTGAGTGCTGAGGCAGGAGAACCTGTTGATCGTGAGAGATATCAAAGATTAGTGGGTAGGCTGATCTACCTGAGTCACACACGCCCAGATATCTCATTTGCGGTAAGCATGGTGAGCCGCTATATGCATGACCCGAGGAAGGGTCATATGGATGCAGTATATCAGATACTGAGGTATCTAAAGGGCGCTCCTGGTAAAGGACTAAGATTCAGGAGGAGTGGCCATATGAATATTGAGGGCTACTGCGACTCAGATTGGGCTAGCTGCGGAGATGATCGGAGGTCTACCTCAGGGTATTGCATATTTGTAGGAGGCAACTTAGTCTCCTGGAAAAGCAAGAAGCAATCTGTGGTGGCAAGATCAACAGCTGAAGCTGAGTACAGAGCCATGGCCTTAGGGGTCGCGGAGCTGATGTGGCTGAAGAACATGCTGGTGGAACTGAACCTTGACCAAGGGGCCAAGATGAGTTTGTGGTGCGACAACAAGTCAGCTATCAGCATCGCCAACAACCCAGTTCAGCATGACAGAACTAAGCACATCGAGATTGATAGATTCTTCATCAAGGAGAAACTGAACAGTAGGCTACTGGAGTTAGGCTATGTTCCAACTAAGGAGCAGGCTGCAGACTGCTTGACTAAAGGGCTTAGCTCAGTAGATTTAGCTAGAGGGTGTGACAAGATGGGCTTAATAGATATCTTTCGCCCTTCTTGAGGAGGAGTGTTGAGAATGTAATGCAATTAAAGGGGTTTGTTAGAGGGTCTTTGTGTAAACATGTGTGTAAGGCTATATAAGCCAACAATTCTATCAATGAGAGGTAAGAAGCCCTAATTTCTCAATATTTCTCATGAGATTTATCAAAAAATATCCACAAAGTATGATTGCCTCATTTATACCATTGGGACTAAGGAAAGAAAAGGTTCAAGTCAACACATAAACCATGGGAAAATGCTTGCAAAATTCATGGAACCAGACCTAGAGTCATATCAACCTAGTTATTTGACAAGTTTTAACAAGCTATAACTGGTTCCAATAACAGGTTCAAGTCAACACATAAACCATGGGAAAATAGTTGCAAAATTCATGGAACCAGGCCTAGATTCATATCGACCTAGTTATTTGACAAGTTTTAGGAAGCTATAGCTGGCTCCAGTAACAGAGAACCTAGGTAAAACAAAGTCAAACTCAACATGTCACTAAAATCCAAGATGAAACCAATGGCATCACAAAAGAGCATGCCATTCTTCCAGAAACTAAAAACCAAATCTGCCCCGACAAAGTTGATTTAACTCGAGACAAAGTGAGACCGAAAGCAATCTAAATATATCATGGCAGTCCTATTAGAACATAAACCCAACTCTTTCTCAAACTTTGATCACCTCAGAAATCATATTATCAGAAAAACCATTTGTCATTTATAACCACTAAAATGCACCATATGTAAGCGAACTAACGATGCCATCTCTTTTACCCCAACTGTTTACACTATAATCAAGAAGCCATCCATAGAGATTTTGTATTGACTATTTCCCTTCAAATCTTTATTGTCTTATTTTCAAGAAGTCCAAATTTAAATTCTGGTGCATCTCATTCTTTGTGGATAACTGAAGTAGTTGATTGATGGTCGTAGTTTTTTAGTCAATCCTAGAAAAGGGCCACAAAATAAAGTTCATAATTTTGCTGCATTAATTGTGAAAATTTAATTAGTGAGAAATATCAGAAAAAAGTGAGAACAAAAGCTACACAATCACTTTTTTGGAAAGAATACACGATCAATTATTGCAAGAGAAATAAGTAACAGGAAAATATTGAGATGAGAAAATATAATCTTACTTGAGTATTGAGATTAACTTATTTGCTTCTTTTATAGTTTCACACAGGGCATATATGGCCATTTTCTTTACCTGTATACAGAAACACAGCAGGACCAATAAATATAGAACTGGTAAGATTAAAAAAACGCATTAAAAAAACATCATTGAGAACTCCAAAATGCAATAAGAAAACAACTATCGTGCTAACATAGAACTTCGGTAAAAAGAAAACTTAATTCATATTGAAAATAGAGAGAAAACCCTAATTCATTATGAGATCTCTTGGGCTTTATATAGGCCCCTTACACAACTTACAAATAAGTCCTAACTAATACTAATATGTCAACACTCCTCCTCAAGATGGACGAAAGATATCTACTAAGCTCATCTTGTCACATCCTCTAATCATATCTACTGAGCTAAGTCCTTTAGTCAGACAATCTGCTGCCTGGTCCTTAGTCGAAACATGACTTAGCTCCAGTAGTCCACTATCCAACTTCTCTTTGATGAAGAACCTATCGATCTCGATGTGTTTGGTTCTATCATGCTGCACTGGGTTGTTGGCAATACTTATAGCTGACTTGTTGTCACACCATAACTTCATCTTATCTCCTTGATCCAGCTTCAGCTCCACCAGCATACTCTTCAACCATAGCAACTCAGCAACTCCTAAGGCCATAGCTCTATACTCTGCCTCAGCTGTCGATCTCGCCACCACCGACTGCTTCTTGCTCTTCCACGAGACTAAGTTGCCTCCTATAAAGATGCAGTATCCTGAGGTGGACCTCCTGTCATCAGCGAGGGAGAGAGGGGGGGCGGCGGCTAGGGTTTTGGTGGCTCTGATACCATATTGAAAATAGAGAGAAAACCCTAATTCATTATGAGATCTCTTGGGCTTTATATAGGCCCCTTACACAACTTACAAATAAGTCCTAACTAATACTAATATGTCAACATTTTGACTGATTGCGCTGATGATGTCCTAAATGTCTCACTCTCCACTGTCAGCCTAAGCCAGAGGACTGTTCTTTGCATAACTGAAGGCCAACAGAAAACTTATCAAATCCCTACAAAATGTATACAAATGTCTGTCTCTCTTCTTATCTTCAAGTGTTCATTCAGACGGCCCCAATAGATGAAATGTTTTTAGTAGATACTGCCATTACATACGACAGTAATACACAGAAGTCTCAGTACTGATATCACTACATGAAAAACATGGCAGTCTCTAAGTAACAAAAAATAACATGCGCAGAATATCTTAACAAGCTTCAACACAGAAACATCGGTAAAAACACTAGTGAATAGTGGTACTATTCTTTTCTGATTTCATGGTACAGTTTAGCACAAAGAAAAGAAAATTTTACCATGTACATCTATACTCTCAAACCATTAAAGGCCACTTTAATTCTACAAGCTCAAGCGTAAATCTTGGAGCGAGTACACATGCAAATATATTAAAGTGGCTGATTCAAACCAGTAATTTCATGGAGATACGTATAAAAACTAGACTGAACACATGCTAACTAATATTGGTGAAATAAGGTTATTGATAAATCATGGATAGTTACATAGTACACAGTAACCGATTCATTTTAGATTTTCTCTTTTTTTGGGCAAAATGAGAACCGACAAGTGGTAACCTCCATATCAATGAGGAATTTAAGGTTTATTGTTTTGTAACATTTTCATGAGAGTGCATTTCACCACTGCAATTAACTTAGGAAGCAGGGATTTCAAGGTTATTCTCTAGTTTATGTTCAACATGCATACACTCTGCTTATGTATCATATTTAAAACACCAAGAGATTGTACCTGATTCAGCCTATAAAGAACATAAAAATGACATACTATTTAGCACCTGAGTTTTGTGCAACGTTTAAACAGACATAAAACGATTCCTGTTTGACAAAAAGGCATATTAATTAAAATAATTTACACTTCACAAACATGTGAGGAACACCACAGATTTGTACTGTCTCAGTTACTGGATCGGGATTATAGATTTTTTTTTTCCCTTTGACTTTAATTACTTCAAGAAACTGTGTCTAAATGATTAGATATCATGTTTAACCAATTATGAATCAATCCATCCTAATTTAAATTATTTTGGGTTAATTTCAAAAGACAAAAAGGCATATTAATTAAAATAATTTACACTTCACAAACATGTGAGGAACACCACAGATTTGTACTGTCTCAGTTACTGGATCGGGATTATAGATTTTTTTTTTCCCTTTGACTTTAATTACTTCAAGAAACTGTGTCTAAATGATTAGATATCATGTTTAACCAATTATGAATCAATCCATCCTAATTTAAATTATTTTGGGTTAATTTCAAAA